AATATTCCATTGTGTATATGTGCCACTTTTCTCCCCAGTAATACTTTTAATTTCATCCAAGAACCTTTCCTTTGAATTCACAACTTAGCTAGCTGGCTCAAGATGATTAACTTTTAGCATGTCTCAGTTTCTGACATACCTTCCTCACTAAGCTTAATCATTTATAGCTTTTGATTTGCAGTGAGAGACGTGAGACTTTTCCTTTCACTTGAACATTCAGAGGTTACTGTAGGGTTACTACTGGACTTTGTTTTATTAATGTTGTGTCTCAGGGAATATGGAGGCCTGAGGAGAGGGAAAGAGATGGGAAAATGACTGGGTGGTGGAACAATCAGAACTCACACAACATTTATCAAGTTTGCCTTTTCATATGGGAACTGTTTGTGCCCAAAACAATTACAATAACATCAAAGATTACTGATCCCCAAAACAGATATAATAATGATGAAAAAGTTTGAAATATTGTGAGAATTATCAGAATGTGACACAGAGACACAAAATGAGCACAAGCTGTTGGACAAATGGCAGCAACACTCTTGTTTGGCACAGGGTTGACACAAACTATCTGCAAAGTGCAGTAAAGTGAATTGCACTACACTGAGGTATGTCTGTATTGTATTGTTTAGGGACTAACAACAAAGAAAAAATGTCTGTACATGTTCTGATCAGATCATTTTTTTCTACTATTTTCGACATGCAGTTGGTTGAATCCAGGGGAGCAGAACTCTTGTATATGGAGGGCCGACAGTAATAATCATCCAAGATGTCCATATGGAAAGTTATGCCTCTGAGAGGTTACAAACCTGATTTTCCTTAAGTCCAAAATTTAAATGAATTTGAACTTTAAATAAATGATTGTGCAATAATTCTTTTTCTCACAGTATTTATTTTTCATTTACTTTTTAATAATTTTTTTCATGTAAAGTGCTTTAAGTGTATGGAAAATTTTTTTTTAAAAAAACAAGTGAACACCTGCATATACTTGACCTAGGTTTATCAATTATTAATATATTGCTACATTTACTTTATATCTGTCTCTATTGTTTTTCTAAATTATTTGAGAGTAATTTGTAGGTATTATGACCCTTCTCTTCCCAATACTTTAACATGTATCTTATGAGAACAAGTCTATCATCCTACATTATCATACCAAAACTCTTTTGCATTGAGGCAATGTTATCTAATTGTCGATATTCACATGTCCCTAATTGTCTCCAAAATGTCTTTTTATAGCTGTTTTGTTTTCTATCTAGGTGTTAATTAAGGATAACAAATTCCATTTGGTAGTTATATCTATTTAAACTTTATTCATATATGATAGTTTCTCTGTCTCTCTTCCTTTTAAAAATATTACAATGACAGTTTCAAGGGTTCATGTCAGTTGTCTTATAGAATGTTCCACAATCTGAATTTACTGATTGATACTTCAGATCAAATATTTTTGGCAATACTAAATAGGTGATATGTGCTTCTCATTTCATCACATCAGAAGGTACATTTCAATTTGTGCTACTACTGGTGACATGATGTTTAATCGATTAAATTGTAGTATGCCAAATCTTTCTATTGAAAATGCACATTTTAATGTTTTGTAATTAATTAATAACCTACGGCTGATACTTTAAAATATTGTGAATATTTTCTTCCTCTGTATTTCGACTAATGGTTTTTGTATGCTTTGATGAACATTGCCTAAATCAGTTACTTCAATGATGGTTTTAATATGATCATTTATTAATTCTGGCATTATTTACAAATATATAAACTATTATTATTTTATAAAAAAGGAATTCCCCATCCCATTGCCACTTCTTTTTTACTATCACTGTGGACTCATGGGTTCTTTTAATTCAATTTTTATAGTCAACTACCATCATTATTCTTTTGGATGTTCAAATTTTATTAAATTTGACTCTGTGTGTGTCCTACAATACATAGCTTTAAAATTTACTTCTCATAAATTCACCAATAACAAAGATTATATTTGGGTTTTTTGGTTAGAATCAAATGATGACATTTGTTAAAAATACAGATTTCTGGACTTACTCCTAGCCTAATGAAACAAAATATTTGGGAATAAGTTCCTCTAGTCTTCATTTAAAAAATTGATACTTGAGGTGATTAAGAAAAATTCTGATGTTTGAGATGCAACTGTGTAGTAATTTGCAGCATGGAGGTTAGGTAAGAATAATTAGTGTCTTTATTCTGTGTCTTAATTTCTCCAGTTTCTTTATCAGTGTAATGTTCTCCAGTTTCTTTATCAGTGCAATGTGATGATAATAATATCTTCAGATTCATTTGGTACTTAGAAAAGTCCCTGGCATATAATAATTGTATAGCAAATGGTCTTAGTCATTTTTAGTGTAAAATATTAAACTGGATTATCACATATTTCTTATCTTGTAAAAAATAAATTAATTTTTAAAAAACAGCTTATGTAATAATGTAGTGTTATATACTTTTTCTGAGGTGAATGAATTTGTGAAAATAAAGGTAAGTGCATATTATCTGTCGAGATATACAAATATATGTTTATATGTTAAACAACTAAATATGAATCGCCAAAATAATCCTTAACAACAACAACAACAACAAAGCTGGAGGTATCATACTCCCAGACCTTAAACTCTATTATAAAGCTACAATAATCAAAACAGATTTGTATTGGTACAAGAACAGACATACAGACCAATGTAACAGGATAGAGATTCCAGAAGCAAAACCTCAATTTCTCAACCAGCTCATCTTGGACAAAGCCTCCACCGCCAATGACTAGGAGAGGAGAATCTATTCAGTAGATGGTGCTGGGAAAATTGGCTGACTACATGCAGAAGATTAAAACAAGACTCCTACCTATCACCATACACAAAAATCAACTCTAAATGAATTAAAGACTCAAACTACAAGAACCTTAGAAAATACAGGAGACACCCTTATGGAAATTGGAACTGTCAACCAATTCCTGATCAAAATCCCAAGTGCCCATGCCATAAGAGATAAGATAGACAAGTGGGACCTCATCAAACTGACAAGCTTCTGCAAAGTCAAAGAAACCATCAAGAGAGTAGGGAGACAGCCCGCAGACTGGCAAAAAATATTTGCCAACTGTATGTCTGACAAAGGCTTAACTAACATCTAGGCTCTACAAGGAACTCAAACGTGCTGAAAAGAAAAAAAACAGGCATTCCTATTATAGAGTAGGCAAAAGATATAAATAGAAAGTTCTCAAAAGAAGACAGACAAGCAGTCAACAGATACATGAAAAAATACTCAGCCTCACTATTCAACAAAGAAATGCTAATTAAAACCTCACTGAGTTACCACCTAACTCTAGTCAGGATGGCCATCATCAATAACTCAAAAACAACAGATACTGGAGAGGATGTGGTGAAAAGGGAACACTTTTACACTGCTGGTGGGAGTATAAACTAGTGGAAAACAGTGTGGCAATTCCAAAATGATCTGAAAATCGACTTTCCATACTACCCCACAATCCCCCTACTGGGAATATACCTGGAAGAACTCAAATCACTCTATTAAAAAGATGCCTGCACACAAATGTTTATCGCAGCATTGTTCACAGTAGCAAGAACATGGAACCAACCGTGTTGCCCATCAAAAAAGGATTGGATTAAAAAAATGTGATGCATATACACGATAGAATATTATGTAGCCAAAAAGAAGAACAAAATCATGAACTTCACAGCAACCTGGATGGACTTAGAGTCTATTATACTGAGTGATCTTTCACAGAAACAAAGAACTGAGTACCATATGTTCTCACTCATAAGCGGACCTTGAACAATTATCATAATACTATAAGAAAAGGATTGGCAGTAGCAGGAAACTGCTGAGGGGTGGTGGGGAAGGTGGGATTGGCAGTAGTGGAAATCTGCTGGGGGAGGGAGAGTACACCTCATCAACAAGGGTACCTGCATAATGAACATTTTTATATCCTGCTTTGTACTCCACATCATTAATTGTACTCCACATCATTAAAATAAAAAAAACTAAAATAAAAAATAAAAAGATCAAAATTTTAAAAATAAAAATAAATAAATAAAATAAAAAGCTAAATATGTATGCTTTACTTCCTCCTCCCATTTGGAGTCCAATATTTTTGGGCAGATCATGTAACAACTGTACTTACAAATGTTACCCAAAGTAATGAAGGAAAAAAATAAGATCAACAAAATCCCTCTATTTTGCTACATGTGTAAATTGTTATTATTAATATTTAGAAGAGGTATAGACTGATTTTCATTCACTTTTTAAATCTTTGCCTCCAGCACTGTATTTGTGGTGAGATTCAACACATATTTCTGGAGTAATCAAATGGTGCTTTCTTATTTTATTGTAGTATAATATACATAACATAAAATTGATCATTTTAAATATTTTAAGTGTATGGTTCAAAGGCATTAAGTACATTCATATTAGAGCAAAGGTCTAATAACATCACTGCACCAAGGGGAGGGGACCAGAAAAATCTCTGTTGTTCACTGTGGAATGTCATTTGAATTAGAAAGCTTCTTCTAGAGAATTTGTTGTTGAATTTCTGACTTTTATTATTACTAGCCTTGGGGAAATGCATGTTGAAAAACAAAATGGTAACGCTTATAATTAGATGCTAGATATTGTCAATGTCTTCTGATGCCTAGTAGGACCACTGCATGATAAAAAAAAAAAAGTTAATAAGACTGTTGCTAGGAGACGGGAGAGCCAAAATCCAATGGTCTTGTAGGGGTTCCACTGAAAATCAAGGCAATTTAAGTGTGTTTTGAATCTGAGGTTTAGCTATTAAAATCTGTCCTTTGATGAGCATGCACATTTTAGCATATACTGTTTGGTATGATTTCATGTTTTTGGAGGATTTTTGAGGATAATCTTAAGGCATTTTGTTTTTTTTCCTTAGGGGTAATCCCTTCTTCAGAGCATAGCTCATTTTCAAGTGGCTGTTGCGCTGCTGTTTTGCCCCCACCCCTTCAGTGCGACAAGCCTCAGAGCTGGTGGAGAGACAGAGACCATGCCACTGGTAAGTAGCTGAGAAATATTTTGTAAAATAGATATCAAGGTTATGTTTTTAAAAGCAAGTGCCATATTTTGATAGATTGGAATAATACAGAACTGTGTAGGAATTTCTGATTCAATCAGTGGCATTGGGAAAATGGATTAATTAAATTTTAAATATTGCATAGTCATTTTTAGTTTCAATCTTTCTTCTTAAACAGTGAATGAGTTGCTAGGAGGAAATACAGAAATTTCTCCTTGTGATTCTGGTAAGATATTTCTCAAAATAAGATTTAATTGAAGATGTTACTAAAGTGGGAAATTGCCTTCAGGATCATATGTCAACTTTATGATGTTTAGATTAGATGTTCTCAGATCTGGTTTATTTTCTGTGTTGAGAGAGCATGAGAAAAATATTTTGCAATGGGAAAAAGAATGCCATGCCTTTTTTTTTTTTTAAATTAAGAAAATCATGTGACTGGATGTCTGTACTGGAGAGAAAATCAGGAAGAAGGCAGTTCGGAATAATGTTCAGATTGATTGCTTTATGTGAAATGTGAACGTGTGTTGAATGAGAAAGATTAAAATTTGGCTTTTGGACAAAAAATCAAGAAAAAGAAACAGCAAATATTGTGACCGTGCCTTCAGAGGAAAAATATCATTAGTATTTTTGAGCATCAACTTGTATATTAAAGACAGTATTCTTGGTGCTTCTCTTTTTGTAAAGGATGTGAGAAAGATAGCAAAGATTCCTTTCAACAAAGCTTTTATGTTTGTATCTGAAATATGCCTAAATGCGAATGCTTTTGTAGATCTGTTTCTGCAAGAAAAAACATTTTTAAAAGGTGAAGTGATGTATTTGTATTTATTTAAAATTCAGATTGTTTTGACACTTGATTAGGAAGAAGGGAGAAAAAAGATAGATAGATGATAGATAAATAGAGAAAGAGAAAGAAAGAAAGAAAGAAAGAAAGAAAGAAAGAAAGAAAGAAAGAAAGAAAGAAAGAAAGAGAAAGAAGATAGATTGGTTTTTGAGTAATATGACAAAGCAGTCAGCAGGGAGGAAAAATAAAAATGAAGAAGCTTAAAAGAAAGTCCACAAGATAGACCATTTTGCCAAGTTGAACATGTCTGCTAGTAGCATGTTTTGCAGAGGAAAAGGAAGCAAACATATTGAAAGCAAAGGGAGGGGGTGTGGAACAGAGCACTGCGGCAAAGAGAGTGACTGACGCATTCAGGGACATGTGATCATTCTCTTGTGTGGTGAAGAAAATTTTCCAGGACTCCATCTTGTATAAGAAATTCTATACATACTAACATGCAAATAATGCCGTATTCTTTCTGTAGTACGTAATGCATTTGTTTTGTGTGACCGTCCATTGGTTTACATTAGTATTTAGTCTTCGTTCTTAGACTTTCTTCTCTGTGCTCCCAGTACTTTTATACACATTAAAAATGATGTTTTCCTTTTATTGTAAAAATATCGTACTCAATGTAGAAAATTTGGAAAAATCTAAAGATGAATATAAAAATTACTTATAACCCCATAAACGAAAGATAATTATATTACCATAGTAACTCTCAGTCTCTTTTCTCTGAATATATGCAGATAAATACAGTGACATGTATATTTTTATACAAAATGAATATCGTATATACATGTAGTTTTGACCTTTTTTATTTATTAAACATATATTGGGAGCAATTTCCCATATTTTAAAATATTCCACAAAAATGCGATGTTTTATGAATGCATAATTTTCCATCATATAGTTTTTCCACTAAATGTCCAATTATTGAATGCTTTTATGTGCAATTTTTGCTGTCACAAATAATGTATATCTTTCAATATAAATTTCTGTGTGCTTTTCTGTTTTTTCCCCCAGGATAAATTCGTAGATGTGGAATTCCTGGATCAAATGGTATGAGCCAGTTTAAGGTTTCTTTCCCTTCAATACATATCATGTAATTTATTTATCATATGCAGTAAACACATTATTTTCCAGTCATTTGCCTATTGATTTTTATTATCTATTGTGGTGATTTTTTTTGACATTTTACAACTTTACACTCTCAGACAGGCACATTTCTTAATTTTGATCTTATGATTTCTTTCCTTTGATGAGCGTATTCACTTGTATTTTTTTTTTTTTTTGGTCATTTAATTGCTTCTTTTTTATCATTAACTCTTTAGTCCATCTATAATTCATTTTGTTATATAGTATACAGTAGGATCTAATTTTGTTTTTTTTCCGTATAGGTCACCAATTGTTTCAGCATCATTTATTGAATAATCCAACCTTCCTCCACTGATTTGAAATGACAACAACTGTTCTCCCATTAGATAGGGTGTAGCTTTCCACAGGTCGGCCATTTTCTCTTTACCCAAGATGGTTACATTCCACAATACTACTTCTACCTTCTTGCAGCTTCTGGCAGCTTATGCCTTTCAAGAATCCTAGGCATGTGGCAGCTGAGGGCAGTTGTTTTTAATTAGGACTTTTTATTTTAAAAATTTTGAAAATTTTATTGTTGTCATGTGCTTTTTACAAATTAAATTGAGGAATACGAATATATAAAACTATTGTTCCAGGTGTCCTAGTCTTCTTAGACACACCTGATATCCCAATTGTATACTTAAAAAAAAAAAAAAAACTTCTGTAGTTAGTGTAAGTCCTAAAGTTCCTCCTTTAACCTGTTTTTCTACTTCTCAGGTACTCAGAGAGTTAAAGCTGTCTGGATTCAGTTCCTGGAGCTTTTTTTAATTTTTCATTTTTACGTGATATAAGAGAGAAATGTAAGAAATATATGAGGACTACTGTTGTTAGCAATCGTATGATGTGGGGATTTAAAGAAATTAGGGTGAGTCCCAAAATCTATGCTACCACTGACTGCCATCTCCTCCTCTAGATAGAAACACCACAATGATCCACCTCTTTTCACTGCAGGTAGAAGGCAAATGATATAAACGACGCGGTTTTTTAGTAGGAGATGGGCAAAATATTGCCCACAGAGAGATTTGACAATTAAAATCACCTACTACTTATTACTGACCACTCCACCCCCGACCCCAACCAAGTCTTCTTTATTGACTCCTGACCCTGACCTCTAGCTTTACATATTTTGGAAGAAAAAAAGTGGTGACACATGAATGGGAGGCTGCCTTGCCTCGGTTATTGCAAGGAGCTCCTATGGTTCACAACCTCAGCTTCAGTTATTTCCTGACTTGCCGCATTAGGCTGTGATTTGTTTATGAGTGGAGGCTGGTTACCCTGGCAACCGCAGCTTGCCAGGGCAAGCGCATTCGCTCTTTCGCAGTAGCAGAATGCTACTGTGGGGATAGGGGAGGGGTCGGAGCTGCAGTGGCTGAAAGAGTTATTTGGCAGACATGATGTCAATTTTTCTGCGCTAAACTGCCATTGTTATTGCATATAAAGCATTGCGTTAAAAAATACAAAACAAAAAAACCTTGGGAGGCGTTGAGCCACTTCCTTTTTCTTCCTCTCAATATGTTCACCAGTGAATCACGAAGTCTTTCCAACGTTTAAGGGCACTGATGTCCTCAGGTCCCCAAGGATATTTATAATAGTGTAGGAACAGGGAGCAGACTGCCTGGTTTCAAACCTCCGCCACTTGTTAGCTGATTGTGGGACAATTATTTAATCTCTGTGCCTCAGTTTCCTCAGATATAAAATGAGGATAATAATAACACCTCTAGAATAGTGTCTGGTACACAATAACCATTATGTAAGTGTTGTCAATTATTATTTGTAGATATTAAGAGAAACAGACTTGCGCTAGCAATGTACAAACTCACCCTCTAATGCCCACACTGACGAAATAACACAAACACACATTTGCTCCCACAGCACACAGATTTGCCGTACAATACACAGATACACCCCAAGGCACACAGCAAAAATACTTTCCCCAGAGCACACAGACACTCCCCATATCACTAGATTCTCCCAGAAAAATATATGTTCTCCCCAATGCAGAGACACACCCAGAGGACACTGAGCCATCCACATGATGCAAACTCTTCCCACCCTAAATTATCTACCCATGACACACAGGCAATCCCCAACATCATACACTGTCCCCCACATCACCTAGACTATTCCTAGGACACACACAGTATAAGACTTGCCCTACAGAATACAGATTATCCTGAAAACACATATTCTCAAAGCCAAAAGACTCACACGGACTCTCTCCATAGCATTCAGAGTCTTCCCATAACACACAGACTCTCCCCCACAGCACGCAGATACTCCTCATGATATACAGACTCCCCCCTTGCCTCATTGACTAAACCTATGACTGAGACTTTTGCCAGGGCACACAGACTTCCCTCACATCACATTGGTACTCTCAAGAGCACACAACCTCACCTCATGACACACAGACTCACCTCATGGCACACAGACTCTCGTCATGCAACACTTTCTCACCACAAAACAAAGACTCTGCCTACGGCACACAGATTTGCTCTAGAGCACAAAAACTATTGCCACAGAACACAGACTTTTCCTCAGAACAGACTCATGACACAACTTGAAGACTCATACCATGACACAAAGAATCTCCCACATCAGGCAGATTCACCCTCTGGCATACAGACAAGTACCACAGGCCACAGACCATCCAATCATGACATATATTCACTCCACACTACACAGACACACTCCAGATCATGCAGACTCACCACACAAAACACAGACTAAACCCACAGTACAGAGACTCACCCTGCAGCAGTCAGATAATCTAACAATAAACACAGAGATGCAACAGTACATCCTACAGCACATATAGCATTCCTGGATGCACAGGATTGTGCCACAGCACACAAACTTGTCTTACAATGTGCCAATTCAATTTTCAACACACACTTACTACACGATACAAATACTTGCTTCACAATTGACTCACTTGCCCTAAAATATCTGGACCTCCCCCCAAACACACAGAGTCACCACACAATGCATACTGTTGCCCTATATCACCATAATGGACCTCAGATTCTTCAGACACACACTGAAAAATAGACATACCTCACAATGCACACAGCTTGGGAACATAGCATAAAAATTGGCCCTACAATGGACAGACTTGTTCCACAGCAGACATACTCATGCTGCTGCAATATATACTCTTTCTGTAAAGCATTTAGACTCACCCATCGGGGCACAGTCGCAGATGTGATTCACAGTACCCTGCCTCAACCCACCACTGAAGCTACCTGCAAAATACAAACACATTACACAGCATAACACTCTCCCCTTACAGTGCTCAGAATTATGTCACAAACACACAACTGCCATATAGATTCATTTCACAAAAAACAGGCTTCTTGCAGTGGCTACAATGTAAACACATGTCCCAAAACACATGAAGTCATTTGCTATACCACTCTCCGGTTTCCCCCAGTCGTATAAACTGACTTCATTGTTGAAGCTGCTGCCTACAAAATAGGCTATGTCCAACCATGCACAGAAATCCACCAAAATGTAGACTCACCTGTCAAAATACATACTTGCCTCACAACTCACACAAACATCACTGAACACCGAGACTCACCTTAATTTTTTAGACAAGCCCTTCAGTGCACAGACTTATCCCATAACATGCTAAATCACACCCATAACACTTAGAAGTGACTTAAGATTCATAGGAATGCCTGTAAACACATAGATTCCTTATATGATGCATAGAATTGCATCACAACACAGACTTACTCTATAAACGCAAAACCTACCATACACATAAATATTTCCCAAGGTGTAGAAATACAGCACACATATTACTCTCACAATGAAAGGATTTAAATCATAGTGGACAAACATATTTTACCATACTACTGAGCTACCACTCTGGCCTACAACAGAGATACTGCTGTGTAATGGTTGTGAGCAAGGTCCTGGACCCAGACAACCTGGGTTTGAATCAAAGTCCCATCCCTTGCTAATTCTTTCACCTTGGGTAAGTATATTTCTTTTTTCTTTAGTTTGCTCATCTGAAAAACATAGATAACAGGAATATCTATTTCAAAGAGTTGTTGTGAATAATAAATTGAACCAAGATATGTTGTGTTTAGTAAAGTGCCAGGCATATAGAAACTATGAGAATTGTTTACTTATATTACAATCATCCTCCATTCCTACCCAATCACCACCATTACTACTAAAGTAAAAAGGGCCTACCCAAGACACGTAGAATCATCTGACAACAAAAAGTTTCCACCACATCATACATATACTAGCCCCAGAACATCTAGAAACACTTGACAGCACACAGACCCCCTGCCATAGTACCCTCATGCTCTATAGAACACAGACAGAACACTAAATTAGACACCACTCACAACACATAGAATTACGTCACAGTTAAAAAATTTGCTTATCAATGCACAGGCTTGCTCCATAATACACAGACCCATCCCACAATGCCCAGACTAGATGCACAACACCCAGCCTCACCCCACAAGACATAGACCCATGACACAGCACACACACACACACACACACACACACACACACACACACACACATATAAAACTCATAGATATTCCCTACATCATACAAACACACCCTATCACACATCTTTTTTGTCTCATAACATGTGAAAACCCCTACCATTTACAAACATGCTCCTAAATCCATGAGACTAAAATTTACAGTATAACCTTAAAATACAGAGCACCCTTCCCACAACACATTTACTTTCCCATACCTCATACTTGACCCATAAAGAATTATGTGCCCCACATCTCCCAGCTTGTCCATAAATCTGACTTACTTCAAAACACTACCACACATCTGACCACAGGACTCACAGCACACAGATTTGCTTTGTAATACCTAAATAAATCATACCATGCAGAGATATCTTCCTAAGCACAAAACCCCTCCTAAATGCAGTT